TCTCTCTCTCTCTCTCTGTATCTCTCTCTGGTCAAATTAAAATAAATGAATAAATAAATAAAATTAAATAAATAATTATTTTTAAAAAATAAATGAATAAATAAATATTTTTTTAAAAAAAGGGACCAGCAGGTGGTGTGGTGGTTAAGGCACTGGACACTCCCACATGACTGATCACGGTTCAAGTCCTGGACCTGGTGGCTTGCTTTCTCACTTTCTATCTCTCTTTCTCTGTCTCTCTCTGGTCAAATTTAAAAACAAACAAACAAACAAATAAATAAATAAATATATATTTTTGGAGGGGTTTTTGCTATAGGGCAAGTGCACTCACCAGACAGACAGAGACAGAGAGACAGAAAGCGTGAATGGCCAGGTCACAATCACTTCTGGAGTTTTGGGCATGCACATACATGTGCCCAGCGTGATTTAAGCTGCTGTGACCCAGACTAGAACCATGGTCAACCACGTGCAAGTCCAGCATCTTTACCACTATGCCACAAACTTTTCGAAATCCTGTTATATGTACATGCCCCAGAAAAGTTCAGACAAGAGTTCATTCATTCAAGGAGGCTACATAATCTAGTGGTTAATAGGATAAACACTGGTGTCAGAGTGGGTTCAAGCCCTAACGCTACTATTCATCACACCTGGAACAATTTTATTCATCTCTATGTATGTTTATCTGTAAAGGGGGTAAACTATCAATCTCGTAAGATTAAATGAGAAAATGCATAAAGTCCTTAGCAAAGACTGCACATGTAAACTTAATTATTAACTGTAATTAATGGTAGTATTTGTAAATCACTTTAATTGGTTTCTAGTGGGTAATGAATTCTCAAATAATGGGCAATAAGCAAAGAATTGCCAAGGGACAGGTGGGCGGGGTAGATAATGCAATGAGGCTGAGTTTTTTCTTTTTTAGAGAGGTTTTTCCTATAGGTGTATACGCTCCTGGAAGAGACGAGACAAAAACAGGGGGGGGGAGGGTGGCCATTGCACAATCCCTTCTCCATTCTCTTGGGGTTTTGAGTATGTATACAAGCAAACGCAATTGGGGTGTTTTAAGCCGCCACTCAAACCACAGTTGACAATGTGGGAAACTATTTACATAACTATTATGCCATCTGCTGGCCCCACGAAGGGTTTTCTTTTTTTTTTTTTTAAGAATTATTTAGGGGACCAGCAGTTAGCGTAATGGCTATGTCGCTGGACTCCCATGTAGTTGACCGCGGTTTGCATCCCAGACCCTGCGGCTTAAAACTCATGCCTGGCGTGTGTGCGTGTGTGTCCAAGATCCTGAGAGGAGAATGGAGAAGGGATTGCGGCATGGGCGTGGCCATCCTCGGGGGTGGGGTGATTTCTCGCTTTGTCTCTCTCTGCCTGTCTGGCGAGTGCGGGCACCCTGTAGCAAAAACCGCTAAAAAAAAAAAAAAAAAAAAAATTATTTAGGGGACCAGCAGTTAGTGTAATGGCTATGTTGCTGGACTCCCATGTAGCCGACTACGTTTCGAGTCCTGGACCTGGTGGCTTAAATTCACACTGGGCGCCTGTGCATGCACGCCCAAGATCCTGAGAGCAGAATGGAGAAGGGATTGCAGCGTGGCCATCCCCCCTGGGGAGTGATTTCTTGCTTTCTCTCTGTCTCTCTGGTGAGCACATGCACCCTATAGCAAAAACCTCTCCAAAAAAAAAAAAAAGATTTACGGATCAGCAGGTGGCATGGTGATTAAGGCGCTGGACACTCCCACATGACTGACCACAGTTCAAGTCCTGGACCTGGTGGCTTGCTTTCTCACTTTCCCTCTCTCTGTGTCTCTCTGGTCATATTAAAATGAATAAATGAAATTAATTATAATATTTATTTAGTTCCATGTTATTTTTAGAAAGAATTATTAAACTTTATTTTAATTTGATCAGAGAGGTACAGAGAGAGGGAAATTGAGAAAGTGAGCTGCCAGGCCTGGGACTGTGAACCATGGTTGCTCATGTGGGAGTCCAGTGCCTTCAACCACCAGGTGCACGGCTCCTGCTGGCCCTAGTGTTATTTTAATTTGACCAGAGAGAGACACAGAAAGGGAAAGGGAAGAAGCAAGCCGCCAGGATAGGGACTTGAACTGGGTTTTCATGATGAAAAAACATTTGAGAGATTTTTGTTATAGGGCTTGTAAACTGGCGAGAGACAGACACCGAAAAATCACCTCCTAGAGGGGACGGCCTCGCCAATCCCTTGTCCATTTCCCTCTAGGGATTTTGGGCACTCAGATAGGCAACCGCTGCCAGGTCTGGGACTCAAACCACGGTCAATTACGTGGGAGTGCAGCGACTAACCATTGCCATCTGCTGGTCCCTTTAATAGAGTATTCATAGCCCATGAGCTACCTGTACAGAGAGGTAACGTGTGGGATTTAGTTAACAAACAAAAAATCTGGGTGAGGAGTATATTACAGTGTATTACCATTTTATTGGGGGTACTGCTTGAAATTTTTTATAATAATGAGATGAAACAACTTATTGAGGCAGAACAGAAGTGCTCCACCTGAGGCCTGGTAAGCTTGGATGCGTCAGTTCTGTCGTTTAGTTTGCCCAGCTGTACCCACCTATAAAAGAGATGTTAAACCCTATTTCCAAAGTTGCAAGGTTTTTAAAGACGGCGATGTGTAAACGCCTTAGTATACTGGCTGACACAAACCCACTGCTCACTAAATGGGAGCCTACTGGCACTCAACGAAAACAGTAGTGGGATCTGGGTATAAACTATGAACCCCAGAAAGGGTGGGCACCAAGGGCGGGCGCCCCGACAGCAATGGGTCTGGCGCGCAGAGTCGCGGGTCGCAGAGCGGAGTCCACAGCCCAGGGCAGAGGCGAGAAGGCGGCATCTGGAGGCGGTAATCCGCGACCCGCCCTCGGCCTGCGGAAGCCCTCCGGCGAGCTCTTCAGTTGCCCAGGGTCGGGGTCTTGTCTTGCGGCCCGGTCGGACTCCATTTAGGGCTCGTCCTCAAACTCGGAGGCGCTTCTTGACAAACGTTCTGCAAGAAGAAAGCGCGCCTGGCTTTCCCAATAAATGGCGAGTGCCCTCGGCCGCGCACCCCGGTGACAAACATCACGCCCGCGGCCTGCAAACCGCCCACCCGGCAGAACCGAGGTCTTGTCCCAAAGACGCGACGAGGCGCAAAGCAGCTCACGAGCCAACCCCAACCGCCTACAGCCAAGGTGACTTCCGGAGCCGAATAGGAAAGGCGAAGCGAGGGCGCCAGAGGGAGGAAGACAGAGTTTTAGGTGGCCAGGACAGTGCCGCCTGAAATGTCCCGCCCGCCAGCACTTTAACACAGATTAACGAGGCGGAGCCCGCGTTCTCCAAACTCCCGGCCCGGCTGTGGCCTCTCTCGCGGCAGTCGCGGCGCCCCGGCTGGTAATTTCTCTCCCGGCACGTACAGTGGCCATCTCAACACCCCATGGCTCAAGCGCGCGCACAGAACCCTGCGCTCCGCTTGGGGGCGGGGCTTAAGCATGCACGCATGCGTACTGGGACACACGCAAGCGCAGTACGGTCTCCCGGGCGACGGCGGCGGCGGCGGCTCCTTGGGGTGTTCGGCTCCCTCCCATCTAGGCCGGCCCCGGCCCGTCTCGCCCCCAGGAATTCATTCTTCGGGGCCGTGGACTTTCTCATCGTGCCCCTTCAAAGTAAAGCTTGGGGACCTGGGGGGAGACGGAAGTACCGCCTCGATATCCCAAAGACGATCGGGGAAACGGAAGTGGCCGTCGGGGGCTGGTTGGGGCAAGCCGGAAGTGACGGTACCGTGGGGAAGTCGGGGGCGGAGCGGGGTGTGTGTGTATGTGTGCGTGCGTGCGCGAGCGCGTGTGTGTGTTGGTTGCTGCGCTCTGCTGGAACACCGAGGGAAGGCGGAGGGGGGCAGTCAGCCAGCCGGTCCGGCACCCCGTAAGTGTCCGTCCTCGGGTCTGTGGTGATTTCGGCGGGTTTGATGGGCGTGGCGCGCGTGCGCAAAACCACTCTATCCACAGAGTCGGGCGCGATCCTGGCTCTCGCGTTGTCCCAGGATTTGCCGACCTCTGGGGCCCTCGTCCTGTCGCGACCGGTGATGACACTGCTCTGGTCTCGTGCTTCCTTCTCCTCTGCTTTCTAATCCAACTGCCCTCCCTTGCTGTGATTGGTATTTGGAGCTCCTCCCACCTCCTGTCCAGCTCCGTGTGCCGTCGATCTTCTGCCCTTTGTGTTTCTCTCCCTGTGCCCCGGAATCCGGAGGAGGATGGGGGCGGGTGTGTGTGTGTGTGTGTGTGCTCCTGCGAGAGAAACTTTTTAGGTACTGGGGCGGGGATTCAGACCCGGGATGCTTCCGGGTATATAAAATCTGCCCCGGGCGACAGCGGGCCTCCCTCCCTTCGTCCTTCCTTAGAGAACTGTCTGCCATGGAGCCCAGTGATAGTACCAGTACCGCTATGGAAGAGCCTGACAGCCTGGAGGTGCTGGTGAAGACTCTGGACTCTCAGACTCGGACTTTTATTGTGGGGGCCCAGGTGAGACGCCAGGACTTCTGGAAGACACCCATTACCTTCTTGTAGGCCTCAGACTGAGTGAAGAGTCTGATTTTTCTGTCCCTCAGATTTTCTTCTCATTAATTTCTTCGTTCATTTTCTAGATAGAATATTGTCTGGCATTTTTTTGTTGAGTGAGAAGGAATGGTTTCTGTTGAGAGTCCGATTTTGTTCTGTTCTTTTCCGCGGTAGAGTTCAATACTGATGGAAATACAGAGGAAGCAGCAGTTTGTATGGCATCATCATAGGTGGGCCTCAGCCCAACGGGGCAGGTGCGGGAAGGGAAACATAGGGACCCCCAAACAAGTGTGTCTTACCGACAGAAATCGTCTAGGTCTGCGTGGCGTCTTAAAAGGATAGAAGTCAGAACTCATACTGTAGTAGGCTAATAGACTCTCTAGTGAAATGACTAACATTTGTGGCGTAATTTGAATCTCTTGAGCCTAATGTCATAGGTCCAGTTATGTATCTTTACTACTGTACTAGCTGGGAGGGGAGATTGAGAGCAGGTTGATCCATGGTGAGCCATGTGGGAGTCCAGTGCTCTTAACCACCATGCCACATGCCGGCCCCCACCCATGGTGTTCTAAAACGTATTATTACATGTATTTAAGAAATCATATAGGCTTTTGTGAGTTTGATGTATTTAAACATTTTGGTATTTTGCAAGAGTCAGTTGTCTAGTTAGGAAAAGTGGCTTTTTGTTCCCTTCTTTCTTTCTTTGTTAGTCATTCTTCATTAACCTAATTCTCCATCCCATCTTTTTTTAAAAGAATGATTTTATTTAACTTTAATTAATTAATTAATTAAAATTTGACCAGAGAGGGACAGAGAGAAGAAAGTGAGAAAGCAAACTCCCAGGTCTGGGACTTGAACCGCTGTCGGCCATGTGAGAGTCCAGCACCTTTAACCACCACGCCACCTGCTGGCCCCCATCCCATCTTTTTTGCCATTGTTTTTATTTCTGAATAAAAGTCTCTGTCGGAGATAAACTAGTGTTGCCGTTCTGTGTTTGATAAGAGACGATTCTGTCTCCAGGCGCACATTCCCTTGACAGCCAGGCAGAGGAGAGAAGGGAATGTCAGTTGGCTGTTTTGTTTCTTATAGTATTTTCTCCTTGGCCTAAAACCTGAGCTTCCCGTAATGTCTGTATTTGGACAAGTGTGCTCAATTATTGGTCTTTGCACCATGATTACCTCACAACCGAGACAAGCGGTTCATGATTCTATGGAGGTTTTATCCCTCACCTCCACGAATCATCTGTCCCTCTTCTGATCTTTTTCCTTTTTCCTCCATTCTCTGATAACTGTACATGTTTCTTCCCCCTTGCAGATGAATGTAAAAGAGTTTAAGGAGCACATTGCTGCCTCTGTCAGCATCCCCTCTGAGAAACAACGGCTTATCTACCAGGGGCGAGTTCTGCAAGATGATAAGAAGCTCCAGGAATACAGTAAGGGAGTGAGAGGCAGTGTGGAGGTTGAGGCAGCTGTTCAGAGGGATGAGCCAAAGCCATGGCTTTGTCTAATCGTGCAATACATTGTTGTGTGTCTTTTTTTGCAGACGTTGGGGGGAAAGTTATCCACCTAGTGGAACGGGCTCCTCCTCAGACTCAGCTCCCCTCTGGGGCATCTTCTGGGACAGGGTCTGCTTCAGCCACTCATGGTGGGGGACCCACGCCTGGAACCCGGGGGCCTGGAGCCTCTGTCCATGACCGGAATGCCAACAGCTATGTCATGGTTGGAACCTTCAACCTTCCTGTAAGCCTGTGTTCCACATGGGAGGGTCTTGATGGGGAAGGATAGTTTTGGTTATGGTAGCAACAGGATGCTCATAAGACAAAGGTCTCGGTGTTTACATTGGGTTTGGAGGGCCTTGTGGTCTGATACTGGCCTCAGTCTTTAAGGAGAAAAGGGCCTGGGCTCCAGAGAATGAGCTGGAAGTGTGGAGGCCTTAGTATTTGGCTTCTCCCAGAGCAACTTCCCTTACCCTTTCCCCAGAGTGACGGCTCTGCTGTGGATGTTCACATCAACATGGAACAGGCCCCAATTCAGGTATCGAGGGGCCTGGGAGGGTCAGGGAAGGGGATCTGGGAGAAGGAGGCCATGAGGTGGGGGTGGACCTGGCTAAGATGGCGGGGACCTGGTTTAGTAGGTGTTCGTGCTTCCTCTCAGACCTGTGCTGATCGTCCCTCTCTTATTGTAGAGTGAGCCCCGGGTACGGCTAGTGATGGCTCAGCACATGATCAGGGACATTCAGACCTTACTGTCTCGGATGGAAGTAAGTGGGCACAATTGGCTAGGGCCTCTTTCTTCTATCTTCCCTCCCCCTTTTCTTTCAGCCTGGTTGGGGCGTGACTGGCTATATCTGCAGGATTCGGCCTTTCTAATCTGGTTTCTTCTCTACAGTCTGTTCTTTGGGCAGAAAAAGTATCTTTGTGAGGTCCTCTTGTTCCTGCTCATCCTTTTAGAGCCTGGTATCTGAGACAGTTTGTTTCAGACTTGTCAGATAACTCTATAACATATATTTTGTTCTTTTTTTAAACATTTTTTTGCTGGTAGAATGAACAGTATCTTTTTGTTTATTTATTTTCATTTGTTATTTTTTCATTTGACTAGAGAGAGAGAGAGAAAGAGAAAGAGAGAGGGAAAGCAAGAAAGCAAGCCGCCGGGTCTGGGACTTGAACCTTGGTAGACCACGTGGGAATCCAGTGCCTTTAACCACTGTGCCACCTGCTGGCCCCAGATTAAGAGTATCTTAATTAGCATCATGGGTTTTCTTTTTATTTTTTAAAGAATTATTTATTTTTTAAATATTTATTAATTTACTTATTTTGAACAGAGAGAGACACACAGAGAGGGAGAGAGAATGTGAGAAAGCAAGCCACCAGGTCCAGGGCTTAAACCATGGTCGGCTATGTGGGAATGTCCAGCATCTTAAACACCAGGTCACCTGCTGGTCCCCTCCCCCCCTTTTTTCTTTTTCTTTCTTTTTTAAAAGTTTTTGCCATATGGCACATGCACTCACCGGAGACAGAGACAGTGAGAGGGAAAGTAAGAAATCACACCCTCAGGAGAATGGCCATGCTACAATCCCTTCTTTATTCTCCTCTTGAGATTTTGGTCATGCCTGTGCATGTGCCTAGTGTGATTTTTCAAACCACCAGGTCCAGGATTTACCCCCCTGGTCCAGGATTTATTTGTTTGTTTGGATTTTTTTTTTTTTTTTTGAGGGGTTTTTGTTACAGGGTGTGTGCGCTCAGCAGAAAGACAGAGAAACAGAAAGCAAGAAATCAACCCCTGGAGGGAGTGGGGTAGTGGCAGTGCCACAATCCCTTCTCCATTCTCCTCTCAGGATCTTGAGTTTAAGCCACCGGATCTGGGGCTTGAGCCTCGGTTGACTACATGGGAGTCCAGCAACATAGCCATTACACCATCTGCTGGCCCCCAGGTCCGGGATTTGAACCATAGTCGGTTGTGGGAGTCCAGCGACTAAACTCCTTGACTAGTAGTGTGTGTGTGTGTGTGTGTGTGTGTATTTATATAATTTTTTTGGAAGTTTTTGCCTTGGGGCGCATGCACTCACTGGAAAGAGAGCAACAAAGAGGGAAAGTTAGAAATCACCCCCTGTGGGGATGGACATGCTGCATTCCCTTTTCCTCCATTTTCCTCCTGGGATCTTGGGCATGCATGCACACATACCCGATGTGTTTTAAGCCACAAAGTCCAGGACTCAGACCACAGTCAGCCGAGTGGGAGTCTAGCGATGTATCCAGGACTCGAACCATGGTTGGCCATGTGGGAGTGTCCAGCGCCTTAACCACCACGCCACCTGCTGGGCCCCCTTTTTTATTTATTTATTTTTTAATTTTTATTATATAATTTTGTTAATTATTTATTTAAATTTGAGCAGAGAAGGAGAAAGAGAAAATGAGAAAGCACGCTCTGCCCTGTCTGGGACTCAAACCACAGTCAGGCCATGTGGGAGTCCAGTGCCTTTAACCACTATACCACCAGGCAGCCCCTATAGTGTATATTTTCAATTAAAGAAAGAGTC